GCTGGATGGATGCATGGCTTGAGGAGCCGACGATGAGAAGAAAGGAGCGTTAGCGCAGAGCGCCGATGCGGATGTGGAACCGGGAGTCGCGGCTTGGAGTTGAAGCGGATTACATGGAACAGGAGGAGTGAACTAATCTCTTTTTGTCAATGGACGCTACAGCTTCCTGTTTGCTTTCAAAACTTAGCTTGTAGCAGACGTGCACATTTTCAGCATGACGTCTCTGATCCACTGGTAAAAGGACACTTTGATCCTCTCCTCTTTCGTCTATAACTGCTTCAGACAACAAAGTGTATGCAGAAAAGTGGTGAAGATTGCACGACTGTCTTGTGTCCTATGTGTTGTGTTGTGTTATTTTTGTTATTTTGACTTCAAAATGGCGCCGCGAGAATGGCTGCCTTTCCAGCAGCTCCTATATTTTGTTGTTCTACTTCTTCCTTTCATAACTTTGCTGCTGTGAATTGGGAATTTCTCCATTGCGAGACTATTCAAGATTTTCTTATCTTATCTTATCTTATCTTATCTTACATTGGTGAGGCTTGGTGGAGGTGTGCTTTGATCATGCTTGCTAACCACAAACTTTTTTTTTGTGTCATGAATCATCCTATAGGGAAGTCCGGATCAGATTTTTTGACACGAGTGCAAGTCACCTGGTTTAGAATATCTTTTTGATACCGTGTAATGATCTCACACCTTTACTTCAGAAAAGAGAGGGGATCCAAATTGTGTCAATTTTCTCAATTTCTTTTGTTTTTAATTAAGTATCCCAACATGGTACCTTTTTATATGGCTCAAAGTCTAGTGCAGCAGTGGAGCAAACAAACAAATCTTCTCGGAATATATCAGTGGTGCAGAATAAAATAACAATGGAAACATATACACTTGAATATCAGAAATTCCACTCGTACGTGACAGAAAAAAAGATCTGCCAAAATGGTAAATGAATCAATTTTACACAGTGTAACGTTAAACATTATATTTTGTGCATGTGAAACTAGAGCACTACATTTGGTAATATGTTTGTCCCTCAGGATTTTCTTTTTCACTTTGTGACCTTTTAACAATTGACAACATTTAAAAATCGAATCATTTTCAGCCGATGCCATTCAGCCGATGCCAATCATCATAAAATTACGTGATCTGCCCCGATTCAAGATTATGTGATCCGAGCGGGACGACGCTAGATATAACCTGTCATGGTAATTAACAGTCAACAACTATGCTGTTTTGATGCCATTCCCCTGTGACTAATGAAAATTTGTTGCAAAACCTCACACGCAGTATTGCACAATGCGACTGACTTGTTCAGTTGTGTTGTGTCACTGAGTGTGCTTTAGGCTCATTATTCTTTTTTGTCCAATGCAGTTCTGGGGTGGCTTAGGGTTAACAGTGAATGATTTGATGATGAAAAAAATGAAAATGATTGTTGCACTTACAGTAGTCATGTTGTTCCCAAACTCCTGACAGTTGAGGAGCTTGGTGTCAGGCAGGATGTCAAAGGGAGAAAGCGTGCTGCCGACATCATCCTCCACACACTCTAACATCTGATTCAGAGCAGACAGCAAGGTCTCGCTTTCTTCTTCCGCTTGCCTTGTGTCCTATAATGGGTAACAAGAGCTCGTGTCTATTTTGGCCCATCCTCTTTTAGCGAGCATAAATACAAGCCTATTCCTTAGAGCTACTGCCATTCCTGGCTTGCGCTCTGACCTCTGATGAAGCAGCGGGCTCCTCAAAAATGGCCAAGATGGAGTGTTCCATACAGGACTGCGTGTCCATGTCCTCTGTACCCATGGTGCCTCCACACGAACCAATCTGCAGAGATATGGACAAAAATGTGAATGTATCAGACTAAACACACCGACGTCTCTAAAAAAAAAAAATTATCCCGACGGAATATCCTGAGGTGTGCGGAGTGTTGCATGAATCAAGAAACGTTAAACCTGTTCAATACTTCCAAACCCAAATCCTTTGTGTGTAGCCAACACTGAGTGAGAACTCTGATGTGAGATGAAACAGAATAGAAAGTTAGGGAGCGACTTAGAAGTTTGAATGAATGGGTGTTATGACATGATATTATGTTTTTTGAAGATAGTTTTTGGTATATTTGTTGAAAACTACTAATATTGGCAGTTCTTAACGTGTGTCAATTATTTTTTTCACTACTCAAGGTAGTACTCAGTGCCTTCTCCCCAAGAATAGCTGGAATTTATGATAAGCACACACATTTTTAAAACATCGGTTAACATGTTAGAAATCCATACTTGAATGTGCCGAATAGCACATTGACTGTCTCAAGATAACCTAGTTGAACATGTTCTACTCACATCCTCAAAATTCAGACAGAAAATCTTAGTAGTGCTGAGTAATATTACCCCATCAAGTAATCCAAGTTGATGTGTGAACATTTTGATGTCCATAGATTATGTTTTTCTGATCCGATACGCTTTTATATTTGCTGTACGTGAATAATAATTGGAACAAAATTCAGACGGATAAGATATAACAATGATGTCACGATGGAAATCTGATTATAAACCACCAACTGTCACATTTGACACAGGTATTTGTCAATCAGTAAGCAATAATAGCAGATGGCAATGGAAATTGCATCAAGTAAGGCGGTTCATCACAGCACCAAAACCAAAAATGACACGAAAACAAAACTTTCTGGTCTATAGGGCTGAATAATTAGTAGTATTAAATCAGTTTCTGGGTTCAGAGATCTTGCGGTTAAATGTAGTGCTACAATGAAAATAAATGTGGCGTTTTAAGTGAAACCGGGTCAAAATGAATCACATCTAAATGATGAAGAAGGCCAACAAATGTCTCTTCAATCTCGCTCATCTCGTGTTCGACAAAGAACAGTGCAACGTGCCTGCTTCGGCTGACTTCAATGCACAGTGCAGTCAGGAAGTGCTGCACTCCTTTGCTTTCAACAATCCATTGCTGGTTGCTATTACAGGAAGCAACACCAGAAGACCCAGAGCGTTGACTATACGTGACAATCAGCGGTTTCCGGGCTTTTGAGGACCAAAAAGAGCGGAGCGGTCCATCTACAGCTGATCGCTAACCGCGTACCCTGCCGACAAGCCCGTCTCAGCCACGTGTCGCCACCGCGCGCATGTGCCGGTGAAACAACCGCCACTACGACGCCGAAAAACGCTCCATTGTCCTACTTGATCAGCACAGTAGCTTAACTGGCGAAAGCAATACCTGGCAAGGGCTCCTGATGCTCAGAAAGTCCACGTTGCCGGCATTTAAAGCCTCGTCTATGGGCCTCCACTGCGCCGCCATCTTGCTGCTCCACATGGTCGACTTGGCAGTCCTGGACACGTGACCCCCAACAACGCACGAAAAGCTGGGCTGACCTAGGACCAGTTTGACACTCACAACACACTTGGAAAACCCTGACCATCAGATCCTAGGTCAGAGACTCTTTTCCACTCAAACGCCTTATTTGGCACAGAAAATGATTTTTTTTCGTAATATTGTCCCGTTTCTGATAACGTTTGTTAGAAGCTGGTACATTTGCATCTTGGTTAGGTACATTCAAGTCACAAATTTACCAACTTCTCCAATACACGCGATTTTGATTGTGCTGAAGCGACATCAAGCGTTCAATTTGCGGTATATCACAGCTTCACTTACAATATTGTACTGCACTGGTATTTACATTATGTAGAGGGCAGTGTGAATGAGTTTACCCCGGTATCTGTACTTTACTTGAGGATTTTATTGTAATTCCCTACATTTGCAATCAGATAACTGTTCTGTGTAATTCTTACTTTGACAAAAGAAGAAACCGCTTTATTTGTCTCACAATGGAGAAACAAGCAAAAGGCGTGTTACTTTTTTTTCAACGCTGCCATGGCGTAAAGTGAAAAAGGCAAAATCAAAGGCTCATAGTGTATTTGGAGATGGAAAATATTCTCCATCCATGGCTTCATTTAAGAGAATGCTTTGATGTTGTCTTTTCCAAAAATGATTTGTGGCGTGTATTTTATCTTGTTCCATCCTAAAAACCACAAGCTACTGGCGTTCAAAAATTCTCTGCCAAGCAAAGGGGTCACTTTGTTTTGGTGGCTTTTTGGGTTTTTTTTCTCTCAATATTGCAGGTTTTGGACTGATGGACAACCAAACAGGACTGCAGGGAGGTTTTGGTTTTTTTTGGTATCATACAATAGGAACCGGCGAATGGAATGATGAAAAATTTTGTTCACAGAGATATTGGATGTGTGAAATATAGATCCTTTGGGCATATTCTCCCATGTGCTGAAGACAGAAAAGGCATGCGGCTGCAACACTTTGGGCTGCACAGCTCATCCCATCGACTGAAAAAAAACATGCAGGCACAGGGAGAACATGCAAACTCCACAAGGAAGATCGCGGCCTGGAATCGAAGCCTGCACCTCTGCACTGTGAGGAGGACGTGCTAACCGGTCCAGCATCATCCTATTTTAAAGCATTTACAAATAAAAGAGTTAAAGACATTTAAAAGTAAAGAAATCACTAAAATTACTAAAACAACAAACAGTGCAAGGACCAACGTTTTGAAAACATGATTTTGAAAATGCTCTGAAAGACCGCAATTATAGGTATGGGCTGAAAGGGATAGTTTTTAACCTGCATTAAAAGCATCGAATTGACTTGATGACACACAGTGAACCAAAATGCTTTTAATGTTTCATGTGAAAGGGTTGGATCACAGATTCAGACGCTTCCCTCTCAAGTGGACTTTTCACTTACTCCACTTATGATCTGTTAATTCAGAGGTCTCCAAACAGAGGTCCGCAGCCAGCCGTTTGGTACTAGGCCATATAGACATTCCCCCGCCCCCATTTTTTAAATTGTATTTATTTATTATTTATTTTTGGGGGAGTAGCAGAGCAATGTGGCCCGAGTGGGAATGTTTGTTGACACCCCACCGCCCTATCAACAGATGCCTGCTAATGGTTTCACTGGAGCAAATTTGTCCGAAAATGTCAGCTCACAACTTAACAGTGTGGAAATATCTGTGATGCTAATTAGAAGACACCTGTGGTCAAATGATCTTTTCTCAGGGTACCATTATTTTTGTCAGTTACCTATCCACAGAAAATACCAATCAGATAGCAAATACATAACACATGCAAGGCAAAACAAAGCGCGGTTCATTGGCTCCTTATGCTTGTGCTGCTATTTTGTATTATCTCCCCATTTTTGAGAGAGGACGATGCATGTGTCTGGCCTGTTATCTCTTGCATACCAGGAAAGGGTTGACCTTTCTTCTGAATGTCATGCCGGTTTACAGAGTCAGTGGCTGTGCAAGATTAATAGGAAATGAGATTTAGTCACAGGAACCGCTTTTATGACCTGGTGTAGAAGCTTTTCCATATTGTTTTCAGATGGGTTGCTTGTTGTGTTCTTGTCATTACTTCACCATTCAATATTTCATCGATGTTTGTTTGAAATGACTGGACACAAAAAGTACACAACCAGTTTCCACAATCCTGTTTGAATCGGTATCGTAAGCAGCCATTCAAATTTGGTACCAATGCAGATCAAGGTGTGAATTGTTCTTAAATTTCCCCAATGTTAAAATGAATATTGCTGATATCTCAGTGAAAGAACTCCGAAGTCTGTAAAAGCAATTTGGAGGTGATTTTTATTTTTATTTTTTTTGCTTCTTAACCTGGATTGTTTTTGTTTTGCTTATCATTGTTTTGGTATTTAAATGCCTAAATTTTGCTGCTACTGTTACTCCCTCAGCTCTCACTCATACGCCCACACACACACACACACACACACACACACACACACACACACACACACACACACACACACACACAGAGCACGTCTTGAAACATTACTGCGTGAAATGGGGTCAAAGCCTCCGTCAGTCTTCTGCCAGTGCAGTATGTGCAGGAATATGTGGAGAATTGAGTTGAGGAGGGGCAATTCAGTGTAAGTGGGTCACCTTACTGCAGCATTCAATGCCAAACATCCACATCAACACTCAGCGTCACATACAGTGTACTGTCCCACTGGGACCACTGTTTTTGTTTGGCAATAAAATACATAGTCACTCACAAATGGACACTTTTCCAAAGCGTTAGTGCTTAAGGGACAAACACGCGCGTAAAAACCTATTTATTTTCCATCATGTTTCTCAACCTCCAAGGACTCCCTATGATCTTGTTTGAAGAACCTGCGGGGTCTTGGGAGTCATGTTGCTGCTTGTGTTATACACTTTCTGTTCTGCACATCCCACACCCCTCCACTGAGTTCATGAAATACATGTGTGTGCACTGTAGCACCCTGCAAAAGCACTTTGATCTTTATCTCGTCATCTCCCCTCTGCAGGACGCGCAAGCATTGTTTGGTGCAGGTGTTGTGCCACTGCTGTCCTCATTGGACTTTGCCTCATGTCCCTTTGCTTTCAGAGCGGAGAGGAAGAATATCCTCCCACATGGCACAGGGAACATTTGTTGAAAACAACTGAAGGGCTGATAGAAGCACAGGAGAAATGTGCCTTGGTTAATCGAGAAAGAAAGATCAAGGAATGATGCGGGCAAAGATGATAAAAGACTGGAGGAGATATGGAGGCGATCCTGTCGATAGAACAACAGAAGAGGCAGAAGTGGGGATTCAAGGGTGCACATATTCGCTTGCACACCAACACAGCACGGTGACGGAATCCTGAAGACTTGAAAGAAACAAGAAGCCCATTTTAGACTGTATTACGTAAGAGTTTGCGGCATCAGCGCACCCTTAAACTGAATCTACCACACAACATGCAAAGGTACAATAACACCAAATAAAAACCATATAACTTGACATTATAGACCTATCTTTCCGTAATTGAAATGATCAAAAACGTATTTATGTAGCAGGTGCAAGTACAAAAATGTTCCAATATAATGACTTTGGGACATTGATGTCTCGTTTTTCTTTGGTATGGGAAAACAGACGTGGTTTATTATGAATATGCTCCATTTGCCAATAAAAATAAATATAACTGGTTGTTACATGGCATTTAAGGAAATGTTCATGCCGTGGATATAAAAAGTCTACACACCCTGCATGGTTCAAATGCCAGTTTCTTTTAATGTAAAAACATTGGACCAAGATGAATTACTTCCAAACTTTTTCCACCTTAATGTGACACATAACCTGCACAACTCAAGTAAAAATGAAGTCTTTTCAAGAGGCGAAGTCAAAATCAACAATTGTGCTAATGTAGTTGCACAAGTGTTTTAGCTGTGTTCAGAAATCACCAATCACATTCAAACTCATGTTACATGGTAGTCAGCACACACCTGTCACAATTTAGTTTTCAAGAAGTGCTTCTGATTAACTGTAAGTTAACCTATTTTAGTGTGCTTTTGGTGAGGTTTTCATAATCTAGTTTTAAAGCACAAGCCTGATCCTCAAAATGCTTCCACAGTAACCGGGGGAGGGGTCTCATTTTTCAAAGGTCTCAGTCAGGGGAAGGGTATAAAATAATTTCCAAGGTATTAAATATACCATGTTACACTGTGAAGGCATTCATTATTATGTGGGGAAAATATGGCACAACAGTGATATTAGAACTAACTGGGCACCGGTCAGGGAGGCTACCAAGAGGCGGACAGTAACATTGAAGCAGGAGAAATTTCTGGCAGGTCTTAGCATTTTAGTCCATGTGACAGACTGTTTTCTTCATATATCTGGGCTGAGGACTGAACTTTTAGGTCAACAGTATGTTTGGTGCAAACAAAACCCTGCTCATCACCCGCAGTAAGGCATTGTTTGTGGTAGCATCATTCTTTGAGGCTGTTTTTCTGTCAAGGTGGAGGGAATTATGAACAGTTAAGCTATGACTGTTTGCTTGCTACCTGAGCCCTGAAAAAGCGTGAGGTGATTTTCAGCGAAGAGCAAGTGGCCGGCCCTTGAGAAAATGGATAGCTTTTACGGCTTAGCTCATTCTACATATTAATCAGAAATTCATGTTTCGAGGAGTGGGCCTGCAGAGGACATATTATTGCGAAGATAATTTTGGGGTTGACTTCCTCTTTAATCGAGGGGTAAATATTGTCAATGTAGGTCTGTCCACTGAGTGACATTTCACTTTTGATGTGAAAGATGCAGCGCAGGATTGTCTTTTGAAGGCACAAAATACACTTTGGAGAACAAGTGGTTCAGGAAGTACAGCAGACGTGGTGATTAGTCGCAAGCCTCACATGCATGGACCATGCTGGAATAATTAACACAATATGTCCTCCTACCTGTGCGTAAGATGAACAGAGAACTGCTTTGGCCTGGTGTATAATTACAAATCATATAAATAAAGATGTACGTGTTGCATAATTTACAAGCATGGACTCCACTCGCATTATGGACGTAATGACCCAGAAGGCGTCACTTGCACCAGGGGAATAGTGG